GATTTCGAATAGCTAACATAGCAGCATTATAACACAAATGGTGAATCTAATACTGACTTGTAACACTTCAGAACATCAAAAGAAAAAAATTGTATTGCTGTAAACAAACAAATTAAGTCACTTTTTTGTATAAATTCAAAGTGAAATACATTTTTTATTCTAGGATTACAAATACAGTGTTGTTTTTGAAAAAAGTTTCTACTTATATTATAATAAATCTGTGAAATGAAACTGTGACGCATTAGAAAAATATTTAGTAATCTTCTGTAAACCCACGTTAATTATAAGTTGACTAATACAATTACTCAAATTGTTATTAGTCTACGATTAATCTACACATAATAATTTTAACTCGTTCCTCAAATTTTCAATTAGAACACTTAAATGCCAACCAAATTTATTTATCTAAAATATTAAAATGAAAGTGTACGTGATCAAATGTTTGTAATACATTATTTGCAACTCACCATAAATCACCATAATCTTTACATGGTTCGATGGTGCAGTGTGAGTAACAGAACTTTGAAAAATCTATGATAATTAACGAACATGAAAAGATATGAGATAAACTGATGTGTAAGATAATTATATATATATATATATATATATATATATATATATATATATATATATATATATAATGAAAATTACAGAATTCATGTCTGTAAACTGGTATGACCAGCTTTATATACATAGAAATATTTAATTTTAAAGAACAAATATGTCATGTTACATGATTTGAAGTGTTCCAGTTCGAAAATTGTTTAGGCAGTACACTTTTTCACGTGAATTACAGTAATGCTAGGTGTCAGTGAGGAACATCTTGTTACTGTATGGAGAGTGTATCACAAATCGTTTCTAGTGCCATTTTGGATTGGTTACAACTAGAGAAAATAAAATAGAAACAGCGAGAACACAGAACAATTACGATCAATCAGTCCGGTCTATCAGATCTACGTTACATATCGAACAATATCAAAATACTATAAACTAATTATATTATTGATTTGTAATAAAAATATCAATACTGACTTACTAGACGTTAGCCACTAGAGTTTACTATTTATTTCCACCTATTTGTCTATTCATATAATCTTAGTGTTCTGAAATATTATTGCGTAAACGAGTTCATACGCACACAACTAAATTTCCATTGATTTCCTTGCATAGATAGTCAATAACAACCTCACTGTTATTTAGTTTCGTACAATTGTCGGACATTCGACACTAATGAAAACATGGTTAAAACAGAATATCATCAAATCAAATTAAATAACTTGCTACCATTCACCCGGTTAATTTATAATATTCGTTACACAATAGTACCCTTTAAAGAACTATCATTTTCACCAAGTAAATACATCGAATTCACCCGGTTATCATTAGTAACATGCACTGATAGACATCCAATATGATTCAGAATATTAATTTCTCACGCAGATCATATAATTATTCATTTATTTTATGAAAATCTAAACAGCCAGATTTTTTAATTCAATGAGTTTCTTAAATCTTCCTTAGTTTAATGTTCATGCGAAATTCATCAGTGACTTGGTCTCATATAGATTTCGTCAAATTATGATTTGACAGTCCGACCTCATCAGCCAACTTGTCAATAAAGATTTATGCTCAAGGAAACTTGAGAATCCTTATTCTAATCCGCTGTTTAGTAAAAAATACTTACTGTTCCTGTTCCATACAGTTTGAAAAATTCTTTTTATTTTAATATTAGGCCTCTATGTAAGCGAATCACCTTTCACACATGACTAACTTGAAACAAAATTCATTTTCATTAGACAGTTAGCCATAAGTGACTTTTAGTTTTTTGAACATCAAACCAACAATCTCACTGTAACTACAACTCAACTTTTTTTTTCTTGTACCATATTACTGAGACTGCTATTCAAAGCGAAATCAATAATTGGCGGATTGAGATGATTCTTGAAGTTAAAAGTTGATGAATAATCATTAGGAAATAATCTATTTGACATGAATAATTTTCATCTTTTTAAATAATATTCACAATGGATTAGTTCTGTTCCTCCTTTTTTCGAAATTCTTGTTTTACTAATGATCATTGAACAAATTATTCCATAGATGATGGTAGAAAAGTAGCAATAAAAATTTAGTATAAAAACCACAAATGAAATCAGCGCTGTCGATTAGTATGGAATAAATAAAAATGAGGCATTGTAATCGGTTGAAGAAGACGTTGCTCAACACCCATCGAGAGTGTTGTTCAAGTTTAAACCGAAAAAGTCTTTACATTGTAGTGCCTCCACATAAACTTAAGTTCGCTCAGATTTAATTTGATTAAGCCTTTTGGATTAACTTATGTAACCAAGCTATTTGTGTAGAAACAACCCATATGTACCATTGGTATTTTTTATTGTCTGGTTTGTATGAGCTTGTACGACTGAACATTGCTTACGCACATACGCTTACTCACATCCTTTTCGCTTTAATGTTAATCTCGTAATATCCCTATGGATTCACATAACTTGTCTTGTTTGCTTTTGACCTTGTCAGTCACTCGTTGCTTTTATTCATGTCTGTGCATGCCTATCTCGTTGATCACATGTCTGTCTTATTTTTGTCTGACTATATATTCTTAGTCATGCTCTATCTCTTGGAATCGGCTCAACAGCCTTCTCCAATTCACGTGGCTTCATTCGTCTTATTCACTGCTTCTCCGCTTCGCTTTGTGGTGTGTCCCAAATAAACGTATTCATCACTTTGTGTTCATCTTCTGATTTATAAATCGTCAGACGCTATTTGGTAACGATTGTCTGGACGAGCTAATTACCGAGCTTAAGAGCAAGCAATAAATCGACACACTACATCTTAAAAGCCAATGATTTTATGGGGTGATGTCATCTAAATTTACTGTAAACAAGTGACTGACTATCACCAATCGTTTCCACATTGTCTGCTTTCACAAAATGCACTCCCATATTTAGACTTTTAATATTATAAGTGATAGTCAGTCATATTAGTTTTTACATGATAGAGATATGGAAATTGTTTAGTTTCATTGAAACAATGAATTGATCATTGTTAGATATTATGCGATACTTTGGAGTGATTAAAGTTAGGCAATTAACACCATCGGATGCAGGCTCTCTGTTCTAGACGTCAAGTGTTTGTAGGCGCGATGGAAGGCTCTAGATTCGATTCCCGCATGTGAGATCTTATAGATGATGGCAGAAAAGTAGAAATAAAATAGTGTAAAAACCATAAATGAAATCAGTTGTCGATTAGTATGCAATAATGTCAAGATTGAACATTGAACTAAAAATGGCCAATTATTGTGTTTTGTGTCAACTCAAACTAGTGAGACATATTATACAGGGTGACTGATTAAAGAAAGTAATTATCTTATTGATCACAACTAGGATATTTGCATCCCAACGCAATCAGAGGATTCATTGATTAATGCTATTGAATTATCTAGTCTCTATTAATTTTTTTCAAGGCTGATTCTACACTCCCATTGGGATTGGCTAAACACTTATACCACATGTCCTAACCATTTCAGTTAATAAAACTTCATAGATTTATCAAATGAATTATAGTTTTTACATGATACTTCATATCTAATCCCATCATTCCTCATGCTTACTGTGTACCAAATCTCAACCTCTCTGAGTAATTGAATAAAATAATTTTGATTACAATAAAATAATAAAATGAATTGTGAAAAATCTAATTTATGTAAATGTCACCTGTGGATAAGACGTTTTCTTCACCAAGTTAATAGTGACCATCATACCGTTCTAAAATTAAATTTACTTGACAAGAAAGTACCTCTCTAGGAGTGGAGAATATAAATACCTGAAGTGAGCAAAACACTACGAAACTTGAATAGTATAACCTTTCGTATTTTATTTAAAAAAAGTTGTGGGTGGCAAATCGATGTTGTTCTCATTTGATGAACGAAAGCAATGATCTCTTTCATAAAAACCGTTATGAATGATATACGCCAGAGTAGAAATATGTGATAAATTTTTCTCAGTCAGTCAGTTACAAGTTTAAACTTGGGGCATACGTACATTATTCCAAGTTGCCGTACTACATTATTACAAACAGATGGAATCGTCAATTCAAATTCCACAGCGGTCGAGGTTGAAGCGTTATTAGTGGTACTAGCAATTATTAGGAATTGAAGATTTGGTTTGAGAAAATTATCCCAGTGAAATAGATTCAAATGGTGAAAAGAGATCAAAAAGAGTTCAAAAAATCAAAACTTAAGAGAAGGCAAACAATAGATGCATCCATTACAAACGATTTTGATCCATGTCATTCAAAATCTCTAACCATACTTCATACCCTGCTCTTATTACTAGCACTGCTTATTGCATTGACCAAGAACATCCGAGCAATGTTCCAAAGACACCAATGATCGAATACTAGTAACCCAAGAATATTCTGTTATCTTAATGGCCACGTTTCATGCTCTAAACAAGAAACTTTGTATCGGCTCCAATCAACAACAGTTTGTTTTAGCCTATATAATAGTAACAAAGTGACATATTATTATAGTTATTGAGTAGTAGTCTGTTTGTTCATTTAATTTTATTACCAACATAAAAAAAATCAGTGTATAATTTATTCTTAGTTTACATATTATTATTATTATTATTATTATTATTATTATTATTATTATTATTATTATTATTATTATTATTATTATTATTATTGGTTTACAAAAGTTTCATTGTATTACCAAACCCACTGACTATCTTTTTTTTTAAATTTACAGTATTCTTAAATAAACAAACGTTCAATTTTATACTCTGTTAGAAAGAACTCTAATTTCAAAATCACCATGTACATATATATATATATATATATATATATACGTATATATTTCATGTACATGTAGTTTTAAGCTAAAGCATATGATCATTAAAATCAATAATTTTGAGTGAGTTGACCAATAAGAGTTTAGCCATAATAATATACATATATATATATATAAACTTATATCCTATTGCATTGCATATTATTAAACAAGAACTATTACTACATCAATTTTTATCCAGTCGACAGACATCCAATTATCACAATAATAAATTACAAAACAATTACTAGTGGTCTATTCTATTTTAATTTTTTTTTTCTTTTTGTGAACAAAACAATTCCATTATTATTATTAGTAGTAGTATTATATTCAATGTTTATGTGACTAGTATTTACTGTTTGACATTGATCAATTTTCATTTTTTTACTTATAACAATGGAAAATGTAAATACTGATAAAATTTATGATGAAGAATTGAAAACCACAACAACCACAACACCAACAACAACGACAATCATAGAAAATATTCATAATAACATTACACTATCACTAGTAACAGTGGATAAAAAAACCACAGAGAGTAATAATCCTATTACGGATGCTGTTTGGACTGAAGTAAGTTGTTAATATGATCAATATTATTTAACATTATTATGGTCTAATGAAAACAATTTGATCTAAAGAAAATATTATATTTTTTGCAGAAACTAATATTAAACTTGCCTATCAAAAAAAACCATTTAAAATGAAAGAATCATAAGATAAATAGTCATTTTGAATGTGACTACACTTTTCATAAACTTAAAAATATCTCCCTGATAGTTGTTAAATAGAATTTTGAAATTTGTATTAAGCGTGGTTATATGATGCATTTATATTTGTATATTTAGCGGTAGAAAAAATATTTGTCTAACATTTACTCCAACTGGATTTTGGGATTTCAAATAATTTGGGAGTATTTACAGTAAATATCTTGTCACCTTAAATTCTGTAGCTTGATTGCTTTTCTTTAAATATGTAAACTGACATATTTCGATACATATGTGAATCATTTCACATTGAGTTTTGTGAGAAAATCATCATTTATTCAATACCGAAATTTATGTTAAAGTATTTATTTTATTGCACAAAAGCATTATTAAGCTTTACCGAATCAGACTGCTTATGTTTCAGTGTACATTTTGGGAAATAACGTTACATTATAACTTTTATAATCAAAAATATTGAAGTTCTGAAAATTTTAATCGATATAAACTATACTTAGCTTATGTGAATACGTTCAACGTTAAGTAAAACATCAAGTGATTTCGAAAATTCGTTCAATTTTCAATATTCAATTGGGGATTAATTTTATTTCTTAGTTGTTTTGCGAATTATAATGAAGGGTAAACAAAATTAAACGTGTTGCTAAAACGCCTCTTTTATTACTCCATTATTCAGTCAGTGAATAAATGTTAGATTCAGACCTGCTGGGATTACTATAATGACATGACGATTTTTTTAACTTTGATAGAACCAAAACCTCATGTTGGTTGGTATACATTCGCCTTGGTTGAGTATGTCTAAATTGAAGTTTGCAGAGCATTTATTGATTGATTTCATGGCATATATATGATTTCACAATCTTAATATACATTTTCTATTAACTAGCAAAACCGTTATTTAGCCTTGTTCTATTGAATTGTTCAATATTCTAAAATCAACTTTCCTCTGTGAATAATTACTGTTTGAAGAACTACAAGAAATTGATTACTACTAAATAGCCAATTCATCCGTGTTCTAAACTGTGAAAGATTTTTATTTCGTAATTTGTTTTGCACTACTAATGTCAAACACAAAGAAATTGTCTTATTTCATTTGCGGATTTCGTTGTGAATAAACTGTCACACATTATTTAAAGATGTTTGTGACTTATCTTGTACAATTTTCACTTCATTTTCTATTACTCTATAAAACTATCTCACTAAATCAAGTCCAGAGTTATTGATTTCTTTGATGTATATTTCCAGTTACAAAGTAATGACCACTTATTTAGCTTTAACTGATCTGATAAAAAAATATCTCAAAACGTATTAGCAATCTAATCAGATTCCTTAAATGAAATAAGTCTTAATTGAAATAGTCCAGTGAGGATTTTTTGGTACTACATCACTGTAGGAAAATAATTACGCTCTAGGCACGTCATCTAGGCATAGACTTCTTTTTTATACATCACAATGCATCTTCGAAATTTATAATACATTGAAATTCAAATTATTAAAGAAAGTTTTGTTTGTTTTACAATATTTATAAAGAAAAGAAATTTAGAAATTTAAATAAATGTACAGGATTTTTTCCAAATATATATCGATCGAAATTCAGTGAATTTCAAAAAAAAATATAAGATTAAATTTCAATCTCAAAAAAAAATTCAAATTTTTAAAATTCAAAAATTACAACATTCTACTGATGTTCAACTATCTTTACAAGTTGAAAAAAATCAGTCAGTTTAAACATGTTTGATATTTCGATAAAACTAAGAGAAAGAGAGAGAATTACCCGTAAAAACTTCTCCGTACAAAGCAGTGTATTTTGGAATGGAAAACTGTTATGCTCGTCGATTGATATCTTTGAAACTATTACAAGTTCACCTCAGTTGGTAAACGAGAGAGAAGATGAATGATCCAGTGAAACGAGCGTCCCAAAGCCCCAATAAGTATAGAAAGAAATCTTGATCAGACGTAGAAAGTGTGTTCTACAAGCACCCAGAAAATATGAGGTTCCACAGGCGCACAAATTAAGTTTATTTATACAAGATAGGAATGTCCTTGAGAGCCACAAAAACAGCATACTAAAATAATCCACCAGCCAATGAAAGTCAAGGATTTCCCTAGGGTGGGAAATGTAATCTCAAGGTCAATTGATTAGCCCATGCTCTAAAACATAGAGTCCAAAATTAGGACCTTTATCAAGTGAGTTCTGGGGATCTAACGTCCCCAACAAAACATGTGGTTTTATACTCAAGAGATGATCAGTAAAGGTAAACAAAATAGAATATCTATTTTTTTAGCACCGTGCACTGAATAATTTCGCCTTTTTGTCAGCTTTAAAATCTATTTTAACACAAAAGAAGATCAGAAATATGCTTTCTAAAAACTTGTCTAATTGATGAATTCATGTAATTTTGTCTTAATTCTATATTTTTATCATGATAACGAATTTGTAACGATCGTTTAATTCAATCTAAGCATTAATTAATAACTAATGTCGAGTAGTGGTATCAACTGTACTACACATAATGTTGTTCCACGATGTGAAACCAACTCTAATGTTTCTATCCACTTTGAATGTCACTATTACTTACTTAAAGTTCGATATTGTAAAGTAGACTGATCACTGAATCAGTATGAAATTCAATTTTCCATTCATCAAGATGAATCCATCACCATCATCAACAGCATCGTAGAACTTCGTACGTATGTACAGCAGTTCAAGTTGCCATACCACATTAGCGCAGATATGTAATGGTCCATTCAAATCCCATAGTAGCAGAGGTAGTAAAGGTATTAGCAGTAATCGGAGACGTTAGGATTAGAAGATATGATTCAAGAAGTATAATCTAGTGAAATAAACTTACCATCATTTTGCTGGCCTCAACCATGTGGTTGACACCTACCGACATGACTCAGTCCACTTGTCAGTGACTTCATGCATTTCTGCTATGTTTTGGTTTGGCCGCCACTAACTTTCTTCCAACCTATTCCTACACCGCAAAATATAGCTCGACGAGGCAGTTGGTGGTTAGGTATACGTAACACATGTCCCAACCATCTCAACTGATGAAGTTTCACCACTTCATCTATTGATCTACCATTCTTACCTAGCACCTGTTTCCTAATAACAGTATCGCTCACTCGATTGTCCCAGGATATACGAGCAGTGCTTCAAAGACACCTATGGTCGAAAACCAGTAACCTACGAATATCTTCTATTCTCACTGGCCATGTTTCGCAGCCATAAAGTAGGACGGAGCGAACTACTGCACAGTAGACTCGTCCTTTAGTCAGCAAACGGATATCTCGCCTACGCCATAAGTGACGCAGGTTGGCGAAAGCCAATCGAGCTTTCTGTATGCATGCTGAGATTTCATCAGTCACCAGGCCATCAACACTGATGAGGCTCTCGAGATAAGTGAAGCGGTCTACACGTTCAACTACTTTACTCCATATCACTAGTTTAGGTACCGATAATCGACATACTTACTACGTTGTTGTAATCAATCGACTGACTTTAGCAATTTATGTTTCACATGTTTGTGTCAAATAAAAGAAATTTGAATCTTTGAGAAAATCGTAGTCAGAGGAAAAATGGAGATGTTTGCACTAAACAACACCGAACTTCCCATATCTTTTCAAAATGTTACCACGAATTGATTAGTACATGAAAATAGGATGAATAATTTATCGATAAAGCGATTAATTATATTGACAATAATTATTGATCCACTTCAAAGGAAATCTATTCAACTAAACAATTTTCTGATTTTATTCTATTCGACTAAACACACATAATACTTGGCTAGATTTATAGTTTTCGTATGTTTTTTTTGCAACTTCCTTTTTACATTTAATTTCACTTACTTTTTCTATTCATCTAGTTTTATTGATAATTTCACTTTACATATATCAACAATATGATGTGTAGAATCAAAATGATTTCATACTCATTTGTGCAAGATTTTACAATTCACACCTATGACAAATAAACATCTAAATAATAATAATAAAGATTTCATCAACAGAAGTCACTGAAGTTGAAATAAACTTGTCCCCCTAAGAAAATGGTGACAAGATTTTTTACAGTTGATGTTGAGATGTCTTAAGATACAATGATGATCGCCATTTTATTTGTTTGTTTGTTTAATTTTTTCATACGTCTATTTTGGCTCTTGATTCAAACGAACATTTTCATCTGTTGATCATTGAAAAAAATATCATTGACGACTAAAAATGATTTAAACTAAGTTATTATTAGAAGTACTAAAAAGAAACCTTCCTACAGTAAAAAAATACCTCACAATCAGTTGTAAAAATAACTTCTTCTTTTAAAAGATAATTAGGCTGCTCAAAGTTCAAGTTGGTTAAATGTTCAGTACAATAAAATATGATTAAATTTATATATACAAATTCATATCAAAAATATTTACCCTTTTAAAATATCAACAATTTACATGTCCATTGTAATCTGACTAAATGGTACTAGTCAAAATGACATTAACGCTATAAAATGTTCATATTCAATCATTTATAGTTTTTTCTGTTCGATTTTAAAGTAAACATTTATAAAAGAAGTTTGGTATTGATAAAGATTAAATTGAATTATATAATTGGATATTTTCTATGATATTATTATTGTAGACTTCTTTGAATTTTCTAGTAATTAGTCCTATAACTTAATGACTTCAAATAACTATTCTCGATCGATGGCCACATGAATTCCTCATGGATTCACTTTTAATGAGATGCGTGAAATTCAAAGTAGGGTTCAGCAATTCAGTGGCTGGTGATCTGACTCCAATTTTAGACGAGTGATTTATTACGTACAATGAAATAAATGTCCCTTTCAATTTCCCTATA